ACCTTAGAGGATGGAAAAAATAAGTTTCCATAGTCTAAGCAGTAGACCCGTCTACGAAATCTCGAATGAAATATGTGACAGTACCCCCGTGACCCCAGATAAATATGTCGTACGATATTTTTTATTTTGACCTGTTTCATCAACCTCAAAATCAATTCAACCAATTCTAAAATTTACTTGATTATTTAATTTTATTAAGTGGATTTTACAAAATTCTGAATTGAACATACTAATGTACGTATATAGTCTTCTGGCAGCAGACGAGCGAAATGTTGTGAGTTGTGTCTTTTGGATCGCGTAATTTACGTTGCATTCGGTTTCACATAAAAGTCTGGATTGTGTGTGCCACACGACGACGCAAAATGAATTGTCTACCGACTTACGCACTTAGACGAACTAAAAACTTACGAACTTCAGTCGCACTGGGCGAGTTGTTTGTGTGGGCGGAGGAAGGGGTGAGGGTAACATTTGTTGGCATATGGTAGTACGTAGTACCTTACACATTTGAATGTTCACATAATGTCATAGTATATGAAACAAAAGCGTGGGCAACTTTAATCTTTTCATATTGAGTGGACGTACCCAGCTTCTTTTTCTAACATAAAATTCTAAATTTATACATTATATGCATAGTATTTTAATGCTTCATACATGCATACTATGTTTAATGGATTTATTTCATTATATGACACAAACACCCCGTACAAACGCTTAAAAGCAACTGAATAAAATACGTTCGTCTGGCGTCCCCAACCGAATTTCAGTCGAACGTAAATTAAGAAACTCATAAAACGCGACTCACAACTCACAAAAGCGTGAACGTCTGGCCTCACCCTTAAGGTACCTGGCTGAGTGAAATAAGTTCCGTAAGTACTCACAAATGGCGCTACAACAAAAGCCATTTAACTAAAATGCAAAGAAAAAAGAGAAATTCGTAAGATCTGCTGGCTCGATCCGTACTTCAGATAATAAGAGCGGTGACCACATTGAGGCAACATGCGCTGGTTCGAATCCAATCGGATCGAGGAATTTTTTTTATGTTAGTTTTCATAATAAGTAACTTTACGTTTCGGCGCGTCCCAAGCAAATAGTCGTAACCCATAAAAGCAACATTTCGAGAAACAGACATTTAAACTTTTAATCTACTCGTAGGTTTATGCGTTTCATATAAATATTACAGTTCTGGATGTTTGTAATTTTGTTGTATACATGTCTGTAGTATATTTCGCAATAATTAACATCAATTAGAAAGCCGTATTTGTGGAGAAAAACGGGAAAATCTATAGTTACGACCCTTTGTTAGTTACTTAGATCAGAGATTATTTTTCTTACCCAAAAGATTTGGTAGCTACGCTTTGATTTTTTTATCTTAAAAATTGCAATGACTGCTTAGTAAAATAAAAACGTTATAAATGTTAGTACAATATTAAAAAACAAAATGTTGTTTTTGCTACTGGATTGAACTTATATTTATAATAACTAATGTGACTTCATCTTTGTAATTTAGACTTAAATTATAACTTAGGACAGTGATTGTGTTTCTTACCAAAAATTTTGATATATACAGATACAGATACATTCATAATTGTTTTTTTAAATTGCAATGACTAGTACGATAACAAAAATTAGTATTAGTTGTGTTTTGTTTTTTATTCGAACTTGTACTAATATTTATAATTTCGTTGTTGTTATTGCAATTTTTTAAATAAGAAAATTAAGCGTACCTTTCAAATATTTTTCGTAAGAAATACAATCACTCTTCTAAGTTATAATTAAAATCTAAATCACAAACATGAGATCACATTAATTATTATAACTTATAAGTTAAATCCAGTAGTAAAAACAGCCTTGTGTTTTTTTAACTTGTACTAACATTTATAATGTTGCTCACCAATCAGTCATTGCAATTTTTAAAATAAAAAAATTATAAAATGTACCTATCAAATCATTTTGGCAAGAAACAGAATCACTGATCTAAGTTATAATTTAAGTCTAAATTACAAAGTTTATAGTTGCACTTTGCCGAGAACTAATGTCATTGAGCTTTGGGTTTCCAAAGCGTAGCGGTAGTAAATGACATTATTCTGAAGATGAGTAACGGCTACTTTTTTGACCAGGATCCATGTCCGTTTAGGACTACTGCAACGAACTTATGGAACATCTTTAACTACTAATGTGTCCTTGGTGTTTTCAGACTCTAAGTTGAATTTAGACATCTTAATTTTGTACATAACGTGTGAAGTTGTATTAAATTTTGCCAAATTAGAATCGTCTAAATCTATCTTAGTTGCAAAAGAATAATTGATAAGTACGTTTCCACAACACCAAGGGCAAGTGGTGACTCTATAAATAAAGATTAAAAACGTAAATACCTAATATATTTATGTAAAAGCGTTTTACTAATGAGAAACTTTGATTTTTTGTATTAAAATATTCACATTATTTAATATTTATTACAATAATAAATACACAAAAGAGCGTAAAAAAGCACAGCCGTACACAAAGTCGTATCCTTGATATACGATTGTTTACAAATGCAAATTTAATTTATTGAACGTAGGTAATAGTCGTAACAGCAAGTTACGATGTTTGATTCAACAATTTAAATCACCAAAAAGTCGTATGTTGTTGGGTTTCAACTGTACGCGGCGGATTATGAAAAAAATGTGAATACAATAAAAACTATAGTATAATCATTATTCGGACCAATAAATATTTGAAAATCTAAAATTAGAACAGTGCTATTAAATTTTGGTCATTTGGGAGATGTGTTTGTCTAAAAATATATTGTAATTTAAATACTTACCGGCACCTTATGTCTTTCCATTTTATAACTATTATTATCTTTTAAGGCTAAATTTGAAACTTGAACTATCACTAATCATTATAGTAATTAACTACTAGTACTTTTAACCACTAAATTGTCTGAAAATATTATTTCTAATGACGAATATGCATAACAAAGATATTTTCAGTCGGCGAATCGTCGTAACGTAGGAGCTGCGACGCGTGATTGGTCGAGCGATCGCAGAGTGCTTCGTAGCATAACATTGTATTTGTAATTACGACTGTTTGCGCGGGAAAGGTTTGAACATACGACGATGTGCTATTAAAAAACTCGAAAACGGCTAACTTTTTTTCAAATTTTTGTTTTACGGAGTAAGTTTTTAACGTGTCATTAAGTACGATACGCAAAAAAACTGATTTTGCATAAAAGATGACTTACGACTGTATGTGTGGAACGCGTCGATTTGTATCAATAATAATAATATACTAATATAATCATTACTTAACACACACCAGACTGTTACGATCGGCGCCGTTTATTCTTCACCAGACATTCTGTGTAACAACGACGCCACGTCTATTTACGATGCAAGTGGATATGTCAATGAACTCAACGGTCTCATTTTAGTACTTCAATTGAAGAAGGTCGTGGAGATATGAACTACAAGTTATCGTATGTTAATGAATACATAGTGATACTATTAATTAATAATAAATATACTTCTTAATATAAGGCTGCCAACAGAGGGACTGCAGTTGTTGTGAAAGATAGTCCGAGAATCAAAAGTAGCGCTTATAATAATAATAATAATAATTAATAATCTTATTACACACCACCACATACTCGTAGATATACGCCATACTGCATTAATTTGACTTAGGTACGTAAATGTGATTCAAACCAGCTAACAAGCTGAGAAGACTAAAGTAAATAATAATAATAATAATAATAATAGTGATGGTGATAGTGATAGTGATAGTGATAGTGATAGTGATAGTGTTAGTGATAGTGACGGTGATGGTAACAGTGACAGTGACGGTGACAGTGACGGTGACGGTGACGGTGACGGTGACGGTGACGGTGACGGTGAC